TAGGCAAGTTCAAGTTATTGACTTTATATGATCAAATCAGACTCAATCGAGTCTAAGTATGAATTTATTGAATCTGTTTTTTTTAATTCAAATTAGAGTTGATAGGTTTAGGGTATACAAAAAATAACATTAATTAGTTGCAAAGGTAATTAAAATTTTACTTGTTTTATCCGCATTTGAAATTGTTATTTTACCATGCATATAAAACATGTTGAGAGATGAAAAAGAAGGGAAGAGGAAAGTCAAGAGTTATGGTATATTAGTATAAAGTTTTTTGACTTCAGTGGCAAGGATGGATCGAAAGGGGGGTTAAGAGAGGTAATAATCCTCCTATAATTTTATAAATTATTTCTCTTAACATAAAATTTTGTGTTTATCTCTATTTAGCAGTTTTCAGTTTCTTCCATGGACATGAGCCTAAGAAGAAGCCAAAGTGAAGTCCTAGGATTTGGTGATGAAATAAAGGGGAAGCTTAAGTATTTAAGGCGTGCATGGAGGAATATGCTTTTGGTAGTGGCATGCCCACTTATCCCTCAAAATCATTAGTGTGTGTGACAAGAATTGCCTTTTTTTAATAATTAAAATGTTTTAACATTATTTTACAGTTTCCCACGAGACTTGACTGATTGAATCCCTTGCTTGAAAGAAAGAAAAAGAAAAGCAAAAACCAAGGAGCGTGTTCCCTAGTGCAGGCCCAAGGCAAGGCTCCTTCAGCGCCGGTGTCCCCGCTTCGGGTTGCTGCCAAAACCAAACCTTGCTCATTCCTCAATTTGCTTTCTGCTTACTTCTAATTTAATATGTTTGGGAATTAAAAATACAATCATCTTTCCCCTCCATTCGAAACTTCTTTATACACAATCCCCCTTCGCTGACATCCTGCACTCATGTTCCCAAGATTCACCCGCCCTAATCTCTCAATCTCTCCCCTCCAATAATTTTAGTTATATTATACCTCTGATGACTTCCGGGAACTATGAATATTCCGCTAGTTAAGAGCTTTTGACAGATCCCTCTGCTTATCAGAGCCTGCAAAGAACTTCCTTTGAAAATAGACTTTCGAGTGGCATAGATAAGATCTTTAACAAGTTCACCTGATATACTAGAAGTCTAGAACGAGATCTAAGATCTGACCATGCTTTATGTTTGACACCACCAACTAAGGATTATTATAAATACTTCTCAATCAAGACAAAGAAAGGAGAACGAACCTTGAGCAATCTACACACAGCCTTAAACCTCTTAAACCTCTTCCTCATGGTTAACTCTCTCTCAGAGAAAAACATCACCCAACGGTCGTTTCCTCACTGATCGTGACTTTCCATTCTAATTAGAAGTAGAGAACCGCCAACTGTGGACGAGATAAATCTAATCCCATCAACAGTTGATAATCATTTTTTTAATAAAATTGTTTGCAAACAAATAAAACCAGTTACGATATAGCTAGTTTGATTCTAAATAGATATAAACATATAAGCCATCTATCTGTTACTTGATTAACCAAATGCAAGCATGATATCGGAGCAGAAAGGTGGGGAAGTTAAAATAATACACCATGATTCTAGAAAAAGAATAGTACAGTCAAAAGGGTTTCCAATTTCCTTTTTTTTTATTGGTTTTTTAAAGGAGAATATTTTGAGGTGCATGCGCAATAGGAGGAGTTTGAACTGTATTGAGTACAAACTAAGCATGGGGAAACCCTAAAAAAGCCACTTTTTACATCATTTCCCTCACCTTCTTCGCCTCCTCATCCCTAGGCAAATACCCTTCCCTTCCCTTCCCCTCTTGTATCAACATTCCCTCACCTCTTTCCTCCTACAACTCAATCTCTAATCTCCCCTGTTAGACTAAATCCTTCTTTTCCTTCTTCCTGCTGTTTACATATTGATCAATATCTTATACATATGATTTATATGTGCGCAGTGACGGATGTAGGTGTATTTCAGGGTGGATAAGCAGATATCCTAGATTTTGAATTTCTTTATTTTAGTTATTAATTTTACTGAAATATTTATCTTAAAATTTTATTTGTGCTTACTTTATCAAAAATTTATGTATATACATGTGTCCACTCAAAATCTTTTTGGATTCGTTTGTGTATATATGTTGCCAGCTTTTTCATTTTTTTTTCACTTTAAAACCCTAATTGAGTTCAACCCTTTGAAAAGTATGTCTTGTTTTCCTTGTTGATTTGATGGGCACCGAGCGAACAGTATGATGATCATTAATGCTCTTAACGTATAATTTGCTGAAAATGTTGAGGTTTTTACCGCATGGATTATGTTTTCTCGACATGTTCTTCCTTGGCGCACCAAAAACATCAAATCTTTACTGTGTGATTCACTGTCTTGCTTTTGGGTTATTGGTTTAGACTTTTAAATGGTCTTCCATCATAATGAATTTCACTGACTAGTCATAGTAATTGCATCAAATTTGCCTTGATTTTGACTCAATTCAAGGAATACAGAATCATGAGTTTGAGATCCCACTTTGCCATTATCATTTCCAACCACCATTACCACCTTCTACTCCATGAAACTAGTCAGTCTTCCCTTCTTCCCTACCAAAAAGAACATGAAATTTATTATCATGGGGGCCATAAAGAACTTCTTTATTCAACTACTGCTTATAAAAACGCCAGAAACCAGTACAATGTCTTTAACACCGATCATGGTGTGTTTCTAGTTGCATTCGTGGGAATTGTATTTGGGATGATCATAGCTTTTGTTTTCCTTGTTTTTTTTTTGTTCATGAGAGAATAAACTTTGCTGGGTGCTTGGGAAGCAAAAAAGAAAAGCGATGTTGGTGAGGTTCAATCTGAAGATGGATTTACGGATAATTCAGTCGTAAAATCTGATCTCAGATTGAGCCGCGCCAATATCACTCTTCCATTACTCTTTGAATTTGCTTCCTAAACTCACCCCCTTATTCTCCTTTTTCTCTTTTGACTGCATGTATCTTCTCTATTTCAGATTTATTTAAAGATCTAAATTTAAACTTACCTACGTGTATAGTTCATGCAGACAACGTTATTCGAATCGGAATCACTTAGAATACCATTCTTTTTTATAATTAAAATTACTCTAAGGGTTCTTCTATTTCAGATTCATATATATTTTATTATGCATAATTTTTATAGATGAATCAGGTGTATGTCTGTATGAAGATTGGGCTCAAAGATAAGTATATATCTCTATACTAATATTCATGTTTACTATGCTTGATGTGCTTTTATCGTTAAGTACTATTTCATGAATTATTTTTTGTGTGTAGGTAAACATGGATAGTTCTAGGGGTGTCAGAATCGATTGTATCTTTTGTAAATTTTAAATTTCTATATAATTTAAATATTTTTATATCTTTTTAATATCTAATTTTGCATCCCAAACATTTTATAATTTTTATATAATTTAAATATTTTTTATATCTTTTTAATATCTAATTTTGCATCCTAAGCATTTTATACTAAGATGTTTCTAATCATAGTATTAACAAGTTAAGATATTGTTAATGTAAATATACTAGCACATGTTATACTCGTTGATTAGGTCAAACAGTTCTTACCACAATAATATTTTAGCTATAATTTATTAGCCAAATAAAATATTAATATTTTTGTTAATGTATCATGTCAACGTGTTTTTACGATAACAGATTGATAATCAATCTATAATAACATAGCATGTCTTATCCAAGCTGTCATACAACATACAACATGTTTGGGCCTTGGGGAACTTGAATGCTAGAACAAAGACAGCATTTTGATGCTTATATGGGCTATAGTCACAAAATCAGACTCTATTTACGTTCATTGTGTTGAGGAAATTTCATACAATCGGATAAATTTTTTATTTTTAAAATTTAAATTTTGATCGGATAGATTGGTTCATGTTAAATTTAAGATTAAAAAATTTTGAATTGATATAATATTTAGAGATAATTATAATTTAGGTACAGATTTTAAATTAAAAAATTATATCAGATTTCAAATCAAGTGGGGTTCTATCAAATCCGAGTCGGATCAGGTCAAATGAAAGACTTCAATTTTCAAGTTGAATATAGGTGTGCCGAAAATCAAAGAAATAATATCATTTATAAATTACATTAAAGGATAACACTTTCAATAAATTAGCATTCACCCCATTTGGGGAAATAATGGACTAACATCCTTAAACTGGGAATTAAACATTCCCAGTAGCTTTATTTGGGCATTTTTGCCAATTATAATTAAGGATAACACTTTTTAGAAAAATATAATAAAAAACAAATCGTTTACAAATAATGATACAAACAATTATTTTTATAAATCACACAGATGACAAAAAATTTCTCATATATTATAATAATTACATATACTTTTTAGAAATTATAAAATAACAACTCATACTTTTTACAAACTACAATAAACATCCAAAATTTTACAATCATTATATTTTAAAACTCAATTTGATCCGTTATTATTGTAATACCTATAATCAAAGATGGAGCTAGGATTTTAATTTAAGAGAAAAAGTATAATTAACAGTAAAAAAACTAAAGAGACAAAACCACAATAAACCAAAATTTAAAAGTTCAAACAGATATTTATTTGATAAAAAAAATTAAGGAGCCAGTGGGACAATAAATAATTTTAATGGCCATCATCAATATTCGTGGACAAAACTGTTCATTTTTAGGCAACTTTTTTCCACGATTGAAGTACTTGTTATCTTCTTTTCAGCTTTCTTGGGATGCGGATTTTGATTGAATTGGGGGAGTTGCATATGAACGTTGATAATCAAGACTAATAATAATAAATATTTTCGTATAACTATTGGCAAAATTGACTCCAAATCTATTATAATTTCCGAAAAGAAAAGAATTATAATTTTAACTTAAAGCATGAGGATCAAAATACAAATAAGTTAAAATTATAATCCTCACTTCACTTCTAAAAAGAAAAAAAGAAAAAAAAGTCTTATAATGCAATGGTACGTAATGCTGGCAATGCACCCAAATGGTAAAAAGCCTAAAGGTGTGGGAAAAAAGCGAGCAAAGTGGTCTGCCCAGGTGGTGGTCCATGTTAAATACTGTATCTTTTAAGGCAAGAATGATTGGATTCCCACATCGGAATCTGTCGTCCCAAATGCCTCAAACAGAACAAAAGGGTCCATGTAGGATGTGAAAGGCTCTTCGTCAAACACGAGATTTGAGTAATTGTGGTGCATCATCAATGGTGTTTCCACCGTCTCGTAATCGAACTTGTACTCGTAGTCGAGGCACCGAACCACATGTTCCATCCACACACCGGCGCAGTCTCGGACACCGCCGTTATCGTGTCCGTTCGCTTCTTTGTTTTCATCCAAATCGAACCCCTCGGTTGTCTTGGAATCAGGCGATTGCCTCGGTTTCTTGCTACCATGATCCTCAATATTGTCATCATGTTGTGCGTTTGAGTCAATTGTTTTTCTTTTTTTGCCCAAAAGGGTTTTCTTGTTCAAATGGGTATTCCAATAGTTCTTCACCTCGTTGTCGGTCCGACCAGGAAGTCTACCGGCAATTAAAGACCATCTACATTTTTTTTAAATGAAGATGTAACATTGGCCACATGGACAAAAATAGTAGACTATATACGCTAGAAATATAAAAGATTGTTATTCAAATTATGGTTTAATCTAATAGATTGTACAACTATCTTTAGGCACAATAATAAAAAAATATCCCTAAATTCTTATTCTCTTTTAGAAACATTTCATTTTGAGGAAGAAAGATCTCTCCGTAGATAAAAATCATTCGTCAACTTGTAATCAACGCTATAAAATATAAGTCTTTTCTCCATAAAATAAATCGTTGCGAGTTATAATACTCCCTAAAATAAATAATAACTAAAATGACTATTTAGTCAAATGTTAGGGGTCTTTTTGTCCTAAAATACTAACCTATTACCAAGAAGCTTGTGCATTCGGATAATGAGGTCTTCTTCCTCCTTGGACATTCCTCCTCGTTTGATGTTTGGTCTTAAGTAATTCTTCCATCGAAGTCTGCAACTTTTCCCTCCTCTCATCAACCCTGAAAACATATACATATTTTTTCTATAAGCTATATATAATTGTATACATAATTATATATATAAATATATATATATGTATACCTGATCTCTTAGACACGGTTGCCCAGTTGCCTTCTCCATAAGTCTCTACATAGTTTTTCAAGATCAAGTCTTCTTCTGGTTTCCATAAACCTCTTTTGAGGTGTGCCTTCTTTTCCTTACGATTCTCCATTTTCAATTTGCTTTCTTTGATCTTTCTCGCTTGTTGAGTCACTCACTCACTGACAAGTCCATATAGCCAACTGTGATATGCAAGGCATTCGTGCATGAAAGGATGGAAATAGGAGGACCCCTTTGTTCATTAACTTTTGCTTTTCTTTCACACGATCTCTCTAATCTGTAAAAGCAAATTAGCAAAGCATAAACCTTTTCTTTCACACGATCTCTCTCTAATCTGTAAAGCAAATTAGCAAAGCATAAACATGCATACATAGTTGAGCTTCCACCTCCACTTCTCAACGATAAAATTTGGATTACGGTGACTGTGGACAAATCATCCTTCTTATTTAGAAAAAGAGTGATGTCAATGATTTAAAAAAAAAGTGTGTGACAAGGACAGTGAGTCTCAGGCTTAGGGAGAGAATACCCTCTCAATCTTGTATGAGGGATCTATATAATGACTCCTAATGTTAATGTCAAGGCTAGGGTCATAAGGACTATTGTAGACTAATAGGGTCAATGGATATGATAATTTGACAATAGATTTAACTACAGATCACATGGATCTTAAATGTCATGTCAAAAGATTTATTATAGATCGAATGATTTAAAGAATTTATATAAATTGAAAGGTATAAGTCTTCGAAAAACTTCGATCAGTGAAAGAATTCTCTGAAGATTTCTATAAACGAAAGAATAATGAGGACGTGACTTAAAGAAAAAAAAATCTAAGGAGATAGAACAATATTCATATGAGAGAGAGCGCCATGAATGTGTTATTATTACCATGTTGAAAGATTTTAAGTTGGACATTCACCGAACATGTCTCATTATTATCAAATAATTGTAGTACCTACTAGCTATTCGTCGTAAAGTTGAACTTTTTGACAGGATTTTGCATGTGCTTTAACACTAATTATAGTCTAAACCATCAAGTGTTTAACTTGATCTCCATTTCTTACCAAATTATGAAATCCTAAACAAGTAATTAATTGATCTCCAAGCACTTTGTTAACTTTTTTGATGCAACTCGGATGATTGTGAAGACAAAGAAAATTAGATGAGAAATAATGTAAGTAAAATAGTATTGGGATATGTTAATGTTCTGAGGCACCGCAGTGTACATGTCCCCCCATTGCAGCTTTTGTGAGCCCCATGAAATGACATGCATTATATAGTGTTTCCTTTTTCTTTTCGGGTTTGAAATTGCCTTAATTTGTGGGGAAGAATGCGTTCTTATTTGTTTAAAAATTCAAGATATGGAGGGAAGGTGAGGCCAAGGCAATGTATGAATTGCTAACTTTCAAGTCATTGTATATAAACATTATCAATTATCAGTCCATGATGTTAAATCTCTTAATGTCAGAAATTTAAATTTTAATCTTGTGAATTGCATAAATTAGGATGAGATAATTACTCCCATAAATTTACATTTTCTTCATTAATCAGAATATATTATAATTATATACACTAATTATATATCAAATATAATCCCCTTAGTTAAACTTGGGGGTGATAGCTACAATTTACCCTTTTTCAAGTTCTATTTATATTTTCTATCATTAATCTTTAATTATTAATTAGTTAATTAAAATCGAATACTGTAATAATTTATTACTATAAGATAACATATTATCTCAAACTTTGTCAAGATTAAAAACAAAGTAGAATCGAACAATCATAGGTGTCATCATCGAGTTGTAGGCAATAGTGCTTTATATGCTCGGGCCATTCACTAGAAACATTAATAGAAGTTGACTACGGCAAGACATACAAGAAAAAGCAATAAACTTTTGTAAATAAATTCATTTACCCAAGTCAATGTCACCTATAGTAATGATGGTTACATGTAAATTGATAAAGCATAAATATAATTATTAGTTAGATAATAGATTTAATTGATCATAAGAGCATGTTAATGATTTTGTTGAAAAATTATTTTTAATCGAAAGATATAAATTTTGAAAGCTTATAATAGTTCAGAATCTTTGATAAATAAAAGATTAATAATAAAATGTAATTTACGGGGGAAAAAATACAACAAACAGCCAAGTTTACTTGAACGTGTACAACTATTTTACAACACAAAAATGCGAAAGCAATAAACTTTTGTAAATAAATTCATTACCCAAGTCAATGTCACCTATAGTAATGATGGTACATGTAAATTGATAAAGCATATAATTATTAGTAGATAGATTTAATTGATCATAAGAGCATGTTAATTTTGTTGAAAATTATTTTTAATCGAAGATATAAATTTTGAAAGCTTATAATAGTTCAGAATCTTTGATAAATAAAATATTAATAAAATGTAATTTACGGGAAAAAAATACAACAAACAGCCAAGTTTACTTGAACGTGTACAACTATTTTACAACACAAAAATGCGGAAAACATTCTTTAAAAGGTTTATATCTCCAAAACTTTTTATTACATGAATTTGACTTGCGGTTACGTGGGAATTTGCATCGGTAAACCAATATTTATTACATGAAGGAACACAGACAGTAACATGGCTTGGGGTTAACTATTAAGTGAAATGAAAGCAGTCCAAGAGAGAAGACAAGCATTTTAAGTTAAAGAAGAAGAAAGTTGGTTGCCAAGTTACACCCCATTTGAAAGTTGGGGAACTCTGTGCATGTCAGAAACTACTGCTACACTATTATTCTCTTCCATATATATATAATGGTTTCTGCAATTGTTTTTTCATGTCATTGTCAAGCTGTAAGGCTTTCCCTACATTTCACGTCCCTTTGCACACATGATCAAAGCTGTGCAATAAAATCTCAGTTTATATCCCCACTGGTGCATCGTGTATAAGCAAATAAAATGGATGAGATGAGCAATACGATGATATAAATGAACATAATGTTCGATTAATTGTTTTTATAATTTTCGTTTTATAAGTTGAATAAACAATTATGAATTAAATTTTTACGTCCATTTAATAAATAAACAAATACAAATAAAAGTATATTCGGTTTGTTATGTTTACGAAAATATCATTATTGTTCATAAGTTTGTTTAACTTGTTTATAAGCTTGTTTACCTGATTCTTCTTTTCATTTTTTTTTATATTTAATATTGGTAAAGATAGGGACTAAATTGAATAAAAGAGAAACTTTAGAGTCCAAATTGTAGAGCCTAAGGAAATTAAGGACTAGTGGCATAATTATTATTGTTTGGCTTACAAATAAAACAAAAAAACGAGAGTGTGTAATGAAAATGTTCGTAAATGTAAAAAATATCGATGAACATGTTCACAAATGTTAAATGAACATATTCGTAAATGCTAAATGAACATATTCATAAACGCTAATAAATCGAATAAGATCACCTCAAAAATAAAAAATGATATAAAATATTAAAAAACGAATACGAATCGAATATGACACTTCAAAGATAATAAACGAACGTAAAGTTATTAGTTCAAATTTAATTGGGAAAATTTGTGTGCACATATTACGAAGTGTGTGCAATAATGTGAGTATACTTTTAAGCTGGCATGTTGGGGGATAAGCTTTAGATCACGATTCCTTCACTTTTCCCATCATTTCTGCAATCATATTTCACTTTGTTTATTCATTCTCAAACATCATCTTGCTTCCAAAATGGGGTTTTTCACCATCAAATTCTATATTACAAATAATTAATCTCATCGTTTAAGAAGTAGATTCATCGATTCAGCTCCTTAGTATACAAATGTACTATATCAGTCAGTTCAAAGTTATCTTCTTTGTGCAAAGATTCTGCATTGAGTATTGTGACAGTATGACAAGATTCACGTGTATGCATGTATATATATACAAATATTTTTGATTACACTACATATATATGGAGAGGTATGACTGGCAATATTAGGGACATTAATGGTCTTTTTATACCAAAGAAAAATTAATGTTTGATCTATATTTGTTTTGTCCTATCACTTTAGTTGGTTGAGAATGTTGAGCATTAATTTATGCAATCTAAGAAACAAATTTGTGAATGGGTAAAGTAGACAATGATCGTAGATGTGGTTCTGGTAGTGTTGGTCTAGTTCTTTAGAGTGGAAGTGTGTACCCGTGCTTGCTATTGTATGGCTACTTATAGTGCTCAGGATAAATGTTGATCGAGAGTTGTCGTGATGTTGATATTGATTGGACGTCATATGAAATGATGGTATAGATTAATTTGTCATCGAATGAAACTACATGTACCAACACATGGTACAAGTGGTTATAAGTAGTACGGGTTCGCATGATCAATAGATGATCGACAAGTGGTCGCTCGCGTTCACGGGATACACTCCATATATTGAGGGTTCGTATAGCTGGTAGACTCGCTTGTCCGAGGGTTCGCATAGTTAAGGTTCGTACGTAGTAACAAATTATACATAAATTTATTTTAATTTAATTGTAGGCTATAATTTAGTTTGATTCATTATATATTTTAAAAAATAAATACACATTTATTTGATATTAAATATAACTATTTTTTATATGATACCCCAACCCAATCGAATCAAATATGTCATTTAACTGATGACGATAGATAGAGTCGAATCGAAATTAAATCGGATAATTAAGCACTCAAACATCATCAATCAACTAATTCGAACCTCAAATCTTGCTTACAACATATGCTGCTGATGAACCATAACCAGTCCATATAAGCCAGAAATAAATTGGAAGGGAACTCTTAAAACAATCACCAACCATGAATGTGCATTAGAGTTCCAATCTGAACATTATTTTTCTCTTTTTTTGGTATCCAAAGCTATGAATCTAAGCTAAGTATTAAACAATCTATTAAAAACCTAGTTAATCCAAAATATTCAAAAACAATAAACACACACATCAGACAACCTTAAATCAAAACCCTAGAAATATATTGAACCAATCAATCCAACTGACTCATTTGACATTTTCAACTAAAAAAATCCAAACATTAATATCCAACATCCAAATTCAAATGCATGCAATGTAAACTATAAATTTAAAACATAATAAAGGAAAGAAAAAGGGTACCTCATATTGAATTATTAGATGTT